CAAAGATCGGGCCACTGAAAGGCTCATAAACCCAACCGACTGTACCCAGCTTTGTAGCTGCTCTAGGAACGAAGACGCTCGAGGGTTTTGGGTGGCGATCTTCTTCCAACCCCAAACCCTTAAACAGGAACATTCGACGGCTAGGGCTTATAGGATTTAGGACTCTTAAACCCTAAACCCTAAACCCCTAAACCCCTAAACCCCTAAACCCTAAACCCTAAACCCCTAAACCCAAAACCAACTCGATGTTCCGCTTTTCCGAAGCTTCGGCAGCCGAGCCTTCTTGCGCATCACCCGGCGCATCTCGGCCAGCGCCTCCGAGAGAGCTTGCTTTCTTTGTCGGACCCGAGGTTTAGGGTTTAGGGTTTGGATTAGGGTTTAGGGTTTAGGGTTTTGGGTTTTGGGTTTAGGGTTTAGGGTCTAGCGGCTTCTATCTCTAGGCTTTAAGATTTAGGGTTGAGATGGGTTGAGACTTTGTGGGTTGTTGTGGGTTTCCGAAACCTTCCTCGTCATGGAGACTTGCGGCTCCATCCTCCGCAAAAGGCAGAAGTGCCGAAGGCTATCATGATGTGCGGCAGGCTTCGCTGCTTAAGGGGCGTGGGGTTTAGGGTTTAGATCTTGCTGAAGATTTATGAAGGGTTTGGGGCTTAGGCGTCTGCCTTTCGCTACCTATTAATTCTCCTTGCTATCTGTCTACCTGCTTCTCTGTTGCATTCATCTACCTCTCCTTGCATGCTCATGCGGGGATGCCAAATATAAGGGTATGTGATGCTATATCCGTATATGGGTAGTTCTCTAAATCCGGGTCCTTATTGGAACCCAAAACAGTACGGCACCCTTAAAGAAAGGACCCTAAAGGAGACTCTGACTTAGAGGACTGCCCATATGCCAATCACTGTACCATGTCTTGTTCTGTCCGATCCGGGTAATGTTCCGGCGGAGCCTTCGGACGGTCAGGCACGTTGCGGATGCCGAATGACATGCCTCAGTATGCAAGGGTGAGGGTTTTGGGTTTTGGGCTTCTTGGGTAAGGGTTCGATCGATTCTTATCCAAACTAGATCTTCGGCATGTTTTACACTCTAACCTGTAGCTCCTTTCCGTTGCATCAGAGAGGGAGGGTAGTAGTTGGCAAAGTTACGTGTCGGCCGGCAGAGACTTCTTCTGCCACATGCTGGCTTGCACAATGTGCGGGCTGTTGCACAATTATGTCTTTCAAATCACAGTATCTCGGCTCATGGGTTTGCAGCAATGGGGATTTCTGAACAGGACAGCAATCTCAGTCTAGAATGACTCCTTAAAAATCACAGGCCTCTGGTCTATAATGTCTTGAGTCTTCAACACTTAATCCCAAACCCTCGAACCCATTTCCAAAAATACCCTGAGCCTTTCCCAACAAAATGGCTTGTACGGCACCCTTATCAAAGGACCCAAACTAAAGGACCCTACTTTAGAGCAATACCCAAATACTGTAAACCGCCTGCTTCTGGCCAGGAGCAAAGTCCAGGTGAAAAAGGCATAGCATTGCATGGCAACGCTCGGTTTAGCGTGTCGGATTGAAGGACAAACAGGCATGCGAGGATCAGAGTTTACGCGTTAAGAACTGCAAGATAGCTTCCGGCTCAGGCTCAGACTTCACGATTGCAAGAATCAAGGCTGACGGTTGTGTGCCTGATGTTTAGGGCTTAGGAGTGCAACGGATAAAAGGTGTACGGCCAGGGATTGTAAATTACAAGGCTCCCAGACACAGCTGCCTACCAAAAAAAGCACATGGTTTCTCGCAGAGATGGCCCCACACCAGGTTCGACACCACGCCCGGCGAATGAGTCCCGAAAACCTTGCACTTCAGACCTAGGCCTTGGCGGGTGTACTATGCTATAATCATATGGGGACTACTACAGAGAGAGAGAGAGAGAGAGAGAGAGAGAGAGAGAACTGTTACTAATCATTCCGAACCGTCTATATTAAGTCAGTGGAGCGAGGAGCCACAAACACAATCAGCCCGCAGCCCGCAACCGTAAAACACCGAATCCAGATTCAGAACAATCTACCCCCATCCCTCAACCACAAACCCAAATGCAGAGCAACGAATCCCCCTTTGCTTAGGTGCTGATCTTGTCGATCGATCCCGTCGCCGCCCCTGATCGCAAGACACAGCAGGCGCTTTGCATTCGAGTGGCTTGAAAGCTACGCAAACTTGAGGACGGCATGCAATATGGTCGGCTGTATATCGTCAACCAACTTGTGTGCTTTGGTACAGACCGGATTTACAGTCGCTCACTGAAAGCATCATCATCATCATCATCACCATCATCATGACAGACACCATGATCAGCAAAAGCACAACCACCGTCACCATCAACATCACCATGACATAACCCTCAGAATCACCATGACCAAGACCATGACCATCACCATCACCACCACCACCACCATCACCAGCACGCAGTGACTATGGCGCCGGTGGTAGTAGTGCTGTAGCGGTGTTGGCGGTGCTGGTGTTGCTCGTGCTGCTGGCGCTGCTGGAAACGGCAGTCGTCGATCACAGTAGACAGTGAACCAACCAGAGTCAACCATGTCGCCTGTCGGTGCTGATGAGCACCGCGGCCCTCAAGTGCACTCCTCCGAAACGGCACTGCCTGCGCTGGGGTCGGCGACCGTGCCCGCTGCGTCGATGCCCTGCACACTGGTGAGGTCCTCTGTCAGGGGTGAGGGTCTCGCTTGGAGTCCCTCTGACTGCGCATGAAAAAACTGAGCACCCCATGCTGGGGGTTCATGATCATGAAGGGCCGCCCTAAATCAGGAGGAAGCTCAAAGCCCTACTTCCTTGAGCTGTCAACCCAAACACTAACTCCGTGAATCCTCAACTCAAACTCTGACACTGATCTTACGACTCAAGCTCCCTCATCTCCTCCCTAAACCAGAACCCTGAACCAAAAATCCCACTATCTATCAATGAACCCCAAGCCTCAGAACCCCTATCCCAGAATCCTAACCGGCAGACCATCCTTCGAAGCAAATCGGAACCTCTGAACCCTGACTCAAATCCCAGAACTCAGGTTGCAACAGTGGCTGAGCACGCTCGACAAGACCGGCAAGACCTTCGCTACAAGCCAAGACTTCTAAATCCTGAACTGGCGGGACTCCTGCGCGTCGCCTTTGACGAGGCGGACGACGTGGTCGAGGCCGCTGGACTCCACCTAGACAGGGCTCAGGGTTCAGGATTCAGGGCTGGGGGTTTAGAGTTCAGGGCTCAGGGTTCATGGTTTTTAGGTTCAGGGTTTAGGCTTTTTGGGTTCAGGGTTCAGGTGTTAGGGTTTTTGGGCTTAGGGTTTAGGCTTTTTGGGTTCAGGGTTCAGGTTCTAGGGTTTTAGGGTTCAGGGTTCAGGTTTTAGGGTTTTTGGGCTTAGGGTTTAGGGTTCTTGGGCTTAGGGTTTAGGGTTTTTGGGATTAGGGTTTTTGGGCGTAGGGTTTAGGGTTTTTGGGTTTAGGGTTTTTGGGCTAAGGGTTAGGGTTTAGGGTTTTTGGGTTCAGGGTTCAGGGTCTAGGGGTTTTGGGCTTAGGGTTTAGGGTTTAGGGGTTCAGGGTTCAGGGTTTAGGGTTTTTGGGTGCAGGGGTTTTTGGGCTTAGGGTTTAGGGCTTTAGGGCTTCTTGGGCTTAGTGTATCGGGCTGAAAGTGCTTGAAGGGGTTCTAGGGCTTACAGGTTCTAGGGCTTGCGAGCGGACGAGCGGACGCCCTGTTGCCGGTTGGCGCCCAGCTTGGTAGTTCCCGCGGCGCCAGGTCCTTCTCCTGCCAAGCCCTGTGTGCAGAAAATACAGTAATAATAATAATATCAACATACTAATAATAATAATATTAATAATAATAGTAATAATAATAATAATATCAACATACTAATAATACTATCAATAATATCAATAATAATATATGCAGCAGCATCCGACTCGACGTCTCCGTCAGGAGAGGCTTCGGGAGGTGGCCGATGGGCCGCATCATGAAAACCAGTTGTGGTGCAGTCAAGCTGGGCTCATATGGCCGCCATCGACTTTTGCAGTGGTCGAGCGTTGGGGAAGTGTGATCTGCATGTAAGGAAATGGGATGAGGCGCCGTCGCCTTTGGGAGGGGAAGAGCTGGGAATAGCCACATTCCGCCGAGGATTTCTGAACCCGTGAGATCGGGCTCGAAGGATTTATGTGGCTTACGTGGCTTAGGGTATGTACAGTTTCGGTTTAAGTTTAAGTTCTAAGGCTTATAATTAGGGTGTAGGGCTAAGGGTTGGGGTTTAGGGTTCAGGGCCAGGGTTAAGAGGGGTTTGGGCTTAGGCTTGGGCTCAAAAAGAGCTCACGGCTGCGGCTGAGGGTTAGGGCTCAATGGGTTTACGATTGCTTTTTTTTTGTTGTGGGCTCTTTTCCGACTGCAGTTGCAGTTAGAATTCCTTACCAGCAGGAGGCTGCTATTGGGGCCTCAAGTATCACCGAAAGAATACCCTAGAGTAATCATACCCAAGCTCCCAGAGGCCCCAACAACAATCCAACTATTGTTGGAAGTTACAGCACTGGCTTCGACAACTGCAAAGTTACAAGATGATAACCCTCAAACACAACTGAGGGTTTATGGTTTAGGGTTCAATGTTTAGGGTTCAATTCTGTCAAGGCTTCTATATGACATGATGTACAGGGCTGATGATAGGGCTGAGGGTTTATGAGGTACAGGCACGTTGCAAAGCTGCTTACTCCGAGATGCTAAACGGCGAATCCTAGCACACTGTAGACTTTACAACTCTTAGAGCAACTGAACTGAACACCCGACTGCCCAAATCCAAGCTGTGGTTTCAGATATCCCCCCTCCGCACCAACAACACCAGAAGGTAACCTTATGTACTTGTAAGAAAAACCATGTCATACTAAGCAGGCCCTCAATAATTAGGCTAAGGTGTCGAGGCACATCATGGTGTCATGGAAATACCTGGTTATGATATATAAGTCGGCAAACGAGGACTTTAAGGGGATAAATTTCAGACCTCTACCCTGAACCCAGAGTGAGGGCTCTGCCTTGGCCACACCCCTGCGAAGCATCTCGCCACTCGGGTCGACTCCCAGGACGGCGTCCGTGGCGGCGCCAAGGGTCCTCCCGAACAGTAGGGAGGAATGGGAGTAGTGGCAGGAGCAGTAACCATCGTCGTGATGGTAGTGGTGATGGTGGTGGTGGCGGTAGTAGAAGAAGTAGCAGCGGTGGCAGCGGCAGTAGATCATTTAAAATTTAGTACTGGGTCAGGAGATTGCCGCCACAGCAGGTCCAGATTTATGACTTGTAGGTCTTGCTCTTCTGACTCATAAGGCCCCATATCATACCCTTCAGCCGGAGCTGATCAAAGTCTTGCGTACGGTGACCCGAACCTAAGGGCCATCCCCACATCAAGCCAAATCCCATGACTGACATCCTAAAGGCCCGTGCAGGGAGTGTTGCATGACGGCTGCAATTCGCTGTAGTTCTAAACCCGGAGCCCGACACCTTGAGCACTTCCCCCCTTAACCCCCTGGCTCTCATCCCTAACCCCAAAACCCCCATGCAAACTCTTTGCAGTGCTTTGCCTCAGCTGCTGCCCGACGAGGATGCTGACATCGGCCGTGCCCGTCGCCAGGTCTAAAACCTTTCACTCTTTGGGTTTGTGAGCTTTGCTCCTAGCGTTCTGGCCGTGGGAATGTGGGAATTGCAGGTTTCAGTGGGAGAAGATCGACCTAAACGCGGCCAGACATCCTCTCAGTTCAGTTAGACAGGAGTGGCGCTCAACAACTCGTGGAAAGGAGCCGAAAGGCGTGGGTGGTGTTGAAAGTGGCATCAACGAAGCAGCCGATGAGGGCATTCGAGTTCAGCCCCAGGCCCACACCAGGCAAGGACTGACGAATGTCCGAGCCAAGCCCCGGGACCCATAGAAGACACCCCAAACCCCAAATCCCAAAGCAAGACTTGAAGACCGGGAACAAGTCCTACTCCGAAAACACAGCCCTTGAATCCCGAACCTCCCACCTAACCCTCTCCTGACCTCCCAAAAATGACCAGAAGAGCCTTGTCCTCTGGCTGCAGCTGCAGGCAGTCCTTCGCGTCTGTCTTGCACTTCAATCCAAGAGGTCGGCAAGAACGAAGGTGCACGATGCTCTTCTCTGTAAGAAGCTGAAGCCCACTAGGTGGCAACGCACCTCTAGGGCTGTCTAGCCTAACTTCCTCATGCGTCTTCTTCTTCTTCTCTGGAAAGTCTGTAGATGCCTTCAGTGCTGACGATGTCCGGACATTCCGGTTTGAATACCCACGCAAGCATTCGCAAGACCACTTAAACTCGAAAGCCAATGCTCACAACACAAGGCATCAGCACAAAAACCACCAGGAGCCTCAACAAGCTCGACATGTCCATCGGATACAGTATTCTACGTGGTGCAGTTTGGCAGTGCGGCCATGGACCCGGCCGGATTTACAATCATGACTTGTGGGTGCCTGGTGGCTGGTTCTCAGGTCTTTCCTTTTCATGCTGCCGTCGTGTGCCTGGCTTTTTTGCCGTTGCTTCTATGCAGGATTTCTAACCGTCACGAAGCTTGCAAACTGCGCATGGGCAACTTGTTGTGCCCTTGCCATGTGTATGTGTACATGTGTTTGCTTTTTGGGTGTCTTTGACTAGGCTGCTTATGCTCCTATGGTTTGTCATGCTTGCGACTGTAACAGGACATAATCGTAACGGCACCGAATACGAGGCACGTGCTGTCGCATTCCCGCCCGCAACCACACCTCGCACGGACAAGTGCGAGATCTATCTCTCTACAGCAAGAATAGAGACACACACACAAGTCATATGTTCCACAAATGAAGCATTGTATATGGTGGCCGTTTCACTCGGACCGTCCACGAAAGAGCCTGTTCAGTTTGCTCCACATTCCGCAAAAAAAAGAACCCCAAGAATCCTCGGGCTCAGCCCGACAAGCTAAAGCTTCGCCGCGATGCAAGCAAGGCTAGCAGTAGTTCCCCCTTAAACTGAAGACCCCCCCCCAAAAAAAAAAAAACTAAACTCCTAAACCCTAACCCCCAAGCCCCTAAAAACCTAAGCCCCTAAACCCCTAAACCCTAAACTCCTCAAGCCTAGATCCATTTTTAAAAAAACGCTCGATGCCCACAAGGCCGTTTCTTCGCGTCTTTCCACTGCCCGGTCCTTGACGAGCGTGCTGCGCCAATGCTGGTCGAGACCAAGCGACATCCACCTTGGGCTTGGGTTTAGACCCGAAACCCTAAACCTTAAACCCTAAACAATCTCTTGAGACTTTAGAGGGGTTAGGTGCCTAGGGTTTAAGGCTTTTTAAGGGTTTGAGAGCTTGCAGGGTTTAGGGTTTAGGCAAACGGTTTAGGGTTTGCATGGGGCTTAGGGTGTTGGGCCTCTGGCTCCGGGCTCAGAGTTTTGGAGGGTTCGCATCAAAAGCAAAGCATGGAACAAAAGACCTGGGAGACACAAGAGCTTATAATGACGAATAATTACGAGGAGTGTGCCGGGGAGTATTCGACTGCGATACCTCCGGGAAGGAGAAAGCCCTTTCCAATTCGACGCCAATGACAAAAACCATAGATTCGGCGCGTGGCTTACATTCAAAGTCCAAGTCTTCGCAACAGCCCTCGACGGGCAAACCTACTCCAAAAACTTAAACGCTATAGGCCCTTGACCCTAAACCCTTACTGTAACCCTTAAACCGTTAGCCTAAACCCTAAACCCAAAATGTTTAACCCAAATCCCGAAGCCTATCTACAACCAAAAAGTCCGTAACCCTCAACACACGACCCCGAGAATGTAGCAACAAAGCGTTTCAACCCCAATCCTAACTGGGAGAGCAGCTTGTTTGTGGAGTCGTAGACGAAGGCGATGCGGTCGAACATGCTGCCGGAGCCCATGCGAGGAGCCGCGGGTCCCTCCTGCTCGGTAGCGATACAGGGCCTTACCAATTAGAGTAATGAAGGTCTTGGGGTATATTCTACCCGGCAGCCCCTTTCTGGATTCCAAGGGGTTTTGATTGGGGCTTTGGTGCCACGGAAGCCCCTGTGGACTCCTGCTTCAGGCTAAAACTGAGGGAACAGGGTCGAGGGTCCGGGGTGCGGTGGGCAAAAGCAGAGCAGAATACCTAAACCCTACACCCTAGTAGATCGCAAAGCCCACCGTCGCAACAGAAAGGACAGAAGTCAGGATCAGTGTTCTAGAGCACTACTAAACTTCTGGTACTGTACAATACTAGTACCATTTTTCTTGGCATGATTCTATTATTGCTATTTCTACCATGCTCTTTGATATGAGCACGGCTTTAAAGTAGGATTTTATGATGAGTTTCCCTCAGGCTGCATGCAGAGGCATAGCAGAAGGTGGAGTAGAAGGCAAGACCCGTCACTCCTGACGGCATCCCGAAATACTGCGGGACGGTTGGGGGCTTCGGGGAGTTTAGGGTTTCCTAAACTTTTATAACGATAAACCCTATTCAAAGCCGAACGCTGTACTCGACCCCCGCATACCCATTATCACAGATTCAGGTTTGGAGACGGCAAAACGGGCTCTGCTAGTTCGTTGCTTCACCAAAAACATTGGCTAAGCAACACCGGATCTGTAGAAAAGACTCGGTGTACTGCTTTCTGTGTTAGGGTTTAGGGTTTAGGGTTTAGGGTTTAGGGTTTAGGGTTTAGGGGTTTAGGTATGACTCGGCTCACAGGTGTCCACGACCTCCTCCACGGTGGCGTATGTGCAGTGAACCCCAGGCCACTAAGCCAAAGACGCTAACTCTCTGCAACAGTCCTCGTAACAAAGCTCCTGCACCCCAAACGCTCCTAAACCGCTGAACCCTGAACGACATAATTTTGAACCCCCAACTTAAACCATTCAACCCTGTCCTTGTCCGATGCAAACAATACTGAAGAGAAAAGCCCCAACACGACTAACCATCAACGATCATATGAGTCCTGATTATACCCTCAAGATTGACCCCAATGTTAAAGGTAGCCCTTCTGAACAAATGATGCCATTGGTAGTAGCATGTACAATGAACGTCCTGTATAAGAACCCACTGTTTAAGAACCTTAGCCCCTACTTCGGCGGGATTCACAAAATTCTGGTTGGTTCGAAATTAAGAACCTTAGGCTGGATCAGGTTCTCAATTCTTTGTTGGGTGGAAGTGGTTTCGTTTTGGCTTGGTTGTTATGAAAACCCGGAAATAAGAACCTTAGGGGAAATAGGGTTCTCGTTTTGGCGGTTGGTGCAACCCCACGCAGAGCCCGGGGGCAAAAACGAATTAGTGTCTGACACTAATTCGTGTTTGCATTGTTGCACTTGCCCACCCCCTGCGGGCAAAAACGAACTAGAACCAGACACTAATTCATTTCTGCCCCGGGGCAGACGCAGGCAGGGGTGTGGTTGGGGGCAGGGGAGAATAGACACCGCGGCTATTTTGGCTCAAGGTACATGCTATGTCTATAGAGAAGAACGCGATTAAGAACTTGCCTGCCGTAACTCCTCAGCCGGTAAAATCAGAGGTAATGGAAAATCAGAACCTCAGGATTAACACCAAAGTCTAAGTTACCCTTGAAAAAGGTCGGAAGACGGCAGCCTAAACCCCAGCCCCGAAAACCGAAGTGAGCCGCCCTGAACCCTAAACCCTAAACCCTACGGTCCTTTGATGCTTCCGTAGCATCCGGCAGCGCCTCGTCAGCAGGAGCCTGAAAGGTGGACGCACCTGGGCGGCAGAGGGGGGAATCTTTGGGAGGACTTAAAGAAAGAACGGCTTAGGGTTTCAGGAATTTTAGGGTTTAGGTTTAGGGTTTCAGGAACTTTAGGGTTTAGGCTTAGGGTTTCAGGAATTTTAGGGTTTAGGCTTGGAGTTTCAGGAATTTTAGGGTTTAGGTTGAGAGATTCAGGAATTTTAGGGTTTAGGTGTCGGGTTTAGGAGTCGAGGATTTTGCTTCGGGTTTGGAGTTCTGGATTGAGGTAGGCTTTGCAGAGCTCCTGCCTGTAGGTGGATGATTCTCAGGTAACCCATCTCTCAGTGCGATGGCTCGGAGTTTCCAAGTGACGAGTTGCCTCCACAGTTCTCCTTGTCATATTGATTTCATGTTAATTAGTGTATACTGTTACTACTCTGCTTGTTATCACCACGCTCTATGATGTGGTTCGGGTCATGAATATTCGACCGAAGGCTGTGAGAGTTTGACCTGGGGAAGCAGGGTTTGCGCATTGTTGCCTTGCATGTCCGTGGGGCGCAGGGTGCTTAATACCCCTAGAACAATGGAACCCCGAGTCCGGGACTTTCACGTTTCTGACATCTCTGAGCCCCCGGGCCTTCTAGCTTGGTCACCGTGGGTGTCTCCACCATGACCTCGGCAATCTCGAAGCTCGCGAGCCGAAACCCAGCAAAACTCTCTCTGATGTTGTCCAATCGAGGGGCCGCTATTGCGAGGCATCAAGAGTGAGTCAGCCATAGTTCTGTTGTTCATATCTCGCATGATCCATAGGATGACACTGACGGCTATGGCTGTGGCGATAATGATTGGATGTGAAGATGATTTTGGGGTGATGATGACGCGGAAAAGAAGTGCGACGGTGATCCAGTCCCTTGGGCTATGGGCTGCTGCAACTTTTGACGTTGTCATCCTCCCCACTACAGTATAGGCTGGGAATTTTCAACCCCTCGAGCCACCCCGAATTTCAGCGTCTCCTTCTGAAAGTCTTAAGCCCTAACCCGAATCGTCGAAAGTGCCCAAAGAGTAGCTACCATGTCCCAGATGGCTTCCTCGGTTGCGGGTCGAGGGTCAAATTATCCTACTTTGACCCCTACGCTACGTTCAGCCATTGACTTGAACCCCCCCCCCCCCCAACCCCAACCCCTAAAACTAAAAGGCCGTGCTGGAGCATGAATCCTTCAGCTCATGCCCAACGTCTCGAGCTTTAAGGACTCAGGAAAGTGGCGGGGTTGGTCGTAGCGTTTAGGATCTCGGGGTTTGGGCTTGGGAGCAGGGATGGGTGGTCCAAGGGCTTCAGGTAGATTTAATCTCGGGTCCTTGGACCGATGTTGTGAGTCTAACTCCTCTGG